CCCAGCAAAGGCCAGGCAGCATCAATATGTGCAAGTCTGACAGAACCTGTGGTAGTTGGTAAGATGCAAAAAGAATTTCCCTCAGGGGAATTTAACGAACTAGCAACCCCAGAAAGCAGACTCCCACTGTATGGCAAAGCATGTAAATTTGTTGGTTTTGTCCCTTGGTTATGTGGCTGCTCCCTGTGTTGTACAGTAGTTTTCAGAACTGTAGGCAGGAAAAGCAATTGTATTTTTGTATTTGTTTTTAACAGCTCTGGTGAACAGTCTGGGGTCAGGGGCTAAAGGTAGAGTCACTGCTCGCTGGAGAGCTCTGGGCAGGCTGGAGACCAGATAGAGCTGCTGTGCTGCTGCCTCCTTTGCTGTAGCACTGTGACCATGGCCCAAGAACCTTGGATGGAGTAGAGAGGAGCCTGTGCTTGTGAGCCCACAGCCCCTCTAGCATCCCTGCCTCCTGGCTGTTATTTAATGCTCAAACGACTGTCACAAATGCCTGGGAAAAGGGCTGGCGTGTGAAATAATGTTTGAAATCTATTTTAAAAAACTGTAAATGTACTTTTTATTAGATAGTGGAGCTAATTTATCCTGTATTCCCTACTGTAATGCTTTTTTATATGGAAAGGAATTTTTTTTTTGGTAATATAAACCAGAACACAAGCCTGAAGCACTCTGTGCATGGTTTTTTGTGTGCATTTCTAAAAAAAAAAAAAAAACAAAACAAAAAAACCCAAAACAAAATAAAAGATATTGTGACAGTGAAGTGAAACAGCTTTAATTTTCACTATTTGCTTGGTGTTCAGTACAGTCACTTTCTTACCATAGAAGAAATAAACTCAAGTACAGCAGCTAAAATGAGGTATAAATTGAAGTGTCCCATTCTCCCCTGAACCACCCCTCCACCCCCACCCCCCCATGTAAAAACCCTTGATCAGAAGGGAGAGGCCAGATTAGGACAGACAGAGCCTCTCCTTTGTCACCAGCTCCAGTTTGCCAGATACCAGTTAGGCATAAATATGGTGATGTAGGGAGTTATGTGAATGATGAGCTTTCTTCACCCTCCAAAGTGAGGGTTCTGCGAATGCAAGGGTTTGGGTTCATCCCTGGCAGAGAAAGGGGGTCAGCCTTAAGTCCTGGCCTGTGCCTGCTTGGGCACAACCCTCTGGGGAACAGACTACTAGCCCTGCACAGCACTGTACAAATACAGGTACTTCACTGCAGTCTCCCTTGGGAATGACAACAGTCCAAGGCCTCTGTCACAGTATAAACAGATAAGGAAACTGAGGCCTGTGGAGACAGTTTTTTTCTCAGATCAGTTGCAGAGCCTGAGGTGATGCCTCAGGCTTTTGATCCCAAATTATGTGCTCAACTGCCACGTTCAGCTATGGTGCCAGCACTTCTGTCATTAGGGACACTATTCTGGACAAAATTTTTCGGCATCCTCCTTCCTTTTCCCTCATTCGTAAAACAGTGAAGACAACCAAGTTCAGTGGGTTTCTGGCAGTGCTGCAGATGCTCTGCCTGGGCTTCGTCCTCAAGCCACCCTGAGAAACACCCTCTTAGACCTCCCCTGCTACCCATTCACCACCTTCAATGGGCCTGGTCATGTTTCTCCTGCTGCACCTTGCTGACAAGAAGGGACATGCCAAGGACCATAACTCAGTTGTAGAAGAGATGTAGAGCCCCACTCCATTTCCATGATTTCTACATGGTCTGTTGATAGCAAGATGGAGCAAGAAGCATCAAAATAAAACAACTTCTTCCATCTCTCCACTTTAAGGACTAGATACCAAGTAGTATGAAATCTTTTAAGTGGCCACTCTCCCAGTTAACTGGCAAACCTAGAAGTGGCTGATTATTTCAGATTTTGCAGAGGCAGTTACTAAGCAGGGGACCAGAGGAATCTGATCTCACCTAATTTAAAGCTACTCTGGAAAGCTGTAACTGCTTCCCCCACCCTCCCACACCTGATTTAACCATCAAGAAGTCTTTGGAGAACTGCTCTCACATAACGCACTAACTCATTTCTCTCACTTACGGGGTGATATTTTAAGGTACACTAATCAAACCAGAGTCATAACTAAGTTCATAGGACCTGTGGCCAACACAGATGGGAGGCAGCATTAAGAAGAGCCTCCATTTCCTTCTTCTGCGAGATTACTTTTGCTGTGGTTTTACTTGTCTGTCCCAGAAACATAATTTCTCCCCCTCCCCCCAAACCAACCATCAATCTGTGTATACATTCATGTGACGCCCCAAAACACAAAGAATCAAGCTTCACGTACCTATACCAACAACTACAGCCAAAGTGCCACACTGAGGCCACTGCAGCTGCCCATGCAGGTGACGCACAGGGTGAGAGCAACAGCCACAGCTTGCCATGCTCCAGCTTCTGCACATAGCACCACTTGGTCTAATTTCTGATACTCTCTGGGCTGTATTTGATCATTACCTGCCTCACAGGTAAAGGTTTCCCTCTGAGAGCCCAATTCTTCCACTTGAACAGGAACACTCCTCTTAATTAAAAGTTTTAGTTGCTCAGTATAATTTTTTGACATGCTGAAAGCAGCTTGACAAGTGTGTGTTCTTGGGAGGCTCCAGAATTTAGCCTGCTGTTGGATGTTGCCTCTCCACTTGATCTACTTCTTAGGTAAGAAACTAAGTTATAGTTGTGATGTTTCCAATATTCTTACCTGTCAGGCATTTTGCATGGCCAGTAAGTACAATGCACACAGTGTCCCAAGCTTATGTAGCTGCTTCTAAATGCCAAAAGCACTAACACGACATACAATTAACTACCCACTACCTTCTTCTAACTCTACTAAGATATAAAATAGCAATAGCCATAGATCCCAGTCTCACCAGTGGCTTGAGGGTTGTTGTTCACACAAGCAGTTCTGTTTGCATCGGCATCTTTCTACTGGGATTTTGGAACATCAGCTCTATTACAGGGCATGCTCTGATCCAGTCAACAGTAGTGCATGAGTAAGAAGTCCATATCCTGTACACAGACCTTCTGGCTTTAGTCCCACAGAGAATAAACTGCCACCTCTAATTGTGGACAAGCATAATCCACAAGGAAAGCGCTAAGAAGTAGGGTAGCCAATGCTGTTAAAGCCCAGGAGGTGTCAAAGAAACTTCCCGGTGAGCACTAAAGTACTAAAATCCGGCCTTGACAGAACCAGAAAAGGCAATGATGCCTTCATATGCTCCACTCCTTGCTATTCTTCATCCCAGTTAAATATCTTAATGCTACAAACTTTGGTTCTCTCTTCTCCAAGTCAGAAGAGACGTGATACCTGCATATCAGCAGAGTTGGAAGACCATCTCCCACAGCCATCTCTAGAGGTTGCTCCCTGACCCAAGCATCTGGACTGATGCTCGCTCTGCTCTTACTAGTGCTAGCCTCAACGGCATTCCAGCCCCTGCTTAACTAAAACATTAGATGCGACCTCAGACCCACCTCTGCTACTACCATCAGTAAAGCTGCAACTGTAGGAACTGTTTCAGGGTGAAGGGGATAGGACCCCAGCCTACGAACTTCATGAAACACAAACAAGGGGATGTCTTTGTGCTCAATGGGCTATTTCCAATAGCTTCCTTCACTTCTCCCATCTTGTAGTTCAAGCTGCTCCACTATTCCCAGTGTTGTCCCTTTAGTGGGAACACGTAAGGGTTCTCCCTCTTCTTTTGGTGTATCTCCTGCCAAGCTCTGCACAGCACCTGGTGCAAAACTATGAACTACACAAAAATGCACCCGTGGCAGAGAAGAGCTGTTTGTAAAGCACTGATCTTGACCCCATCCAGCCCCCAGCTACCTAGACAGTCAGTACTTGCTAAAAGGGGAACGGGCTGTACACATGGGCATACACTCCATCAGGCAGGTGCAAGGCTTACCAAGTAGAGTAGCTGAGTCCTTCATTGGTTGTCTTACTGCCCTGTCTCCTCAGGGATTTGGTTTCAATATGCTGGCTTTATTTTGTGCTTTGTTCCATCGGGTTCAGAGCCTGTGATCCAATTGGTCAGTTCCTCCCAGAAAACTGGCCTTTTTTTCCCTGAGCCTGCCAGGCCTACACACTTCCCTGAGCCTTCCTCCTGCTGCTCCTCACCTCCTGCAGAGAGGCTGGGGGGATCCCACCTGCTGCTGCTCCCCCCCATTTCAGCTGGCAGTGCCACCAGCACCAGGTTGCACACTGATTCATGCCGGTAAAGAAGGAAACTACTTTAGAACCAAAAGGGACTAATTAAAAACTAAAATTAAAAAAAAAAAAGGTATAATTATAATGCAAAATTACCGACACAAACTCCCCCCTCCCACCCTTCCCATAACAAAAAAGCCCAGGAATTAGACTTTCTTGGGACGACGTCCAACTTGGTAATAATAATAAATGCTGATGATAATGAAGAGGGCTCGGCTGACCAGGAGGAGCACAGCACCCGTGGCTATCCGGCTACTCTCAGCAAGGGAGACAGTGGTAACTGGAGAAGAAGGAAAGAGACAAGGCAGAGGTTGGTGATACAAAACCACAAATGAACAAATAGCACAAAGTTGTTTTCTGCTGCCCTCTAACGCAGTGTCTTGGCAAGAGCTGCTGAGCCTTGCAAGCGCGGGAGCCTTCAGCACAGGCTCACTTGCATGCACAGTGAATTCACTTGCTTGATTTTACAGCCTTGCAGCCAGTCACAAATCCCAGAGCTCTCACTTACAGAAACCCTCCTTTAAAGGCAGCCCCACATTCAGGCAGCCAC